GTCATTTCAAATCTTACTAGAGCCACCAAGTCTGGCTTGCAGGGGAATGAGGGCAGCATTCGAACTGAGATTTGGAGACAAGGTCGTTTAGTAAATGTGCATTTTAGCGTCTTAAGGGCATTAATAATGCGCTATTCCATTCTGTTATTCCGTTGCCACGGTTGAAGCATCAATTTTAAGCCCGTCACCGAACTCGCGTGCTTTTGAGTAATTATTCCGCCACGCCACTGATCCTGGTGGCCAAAATTCGGACAATTTAAAACTTCATTGCCATTTGCAAATTGTATTGGGATGAAAAGCATCATGCCAATCACCTTGTATGCTCATCGCCAAATCATTCAGTGAAAATAGGGTCAGTGTTGCCCAACCACATTCACCTTACTAACCTTTCATGCTGACATCGAAGACACTGTCACCTCCCTTGTATTTAGCACTCTTGGAGGACACAGCGTCAGGTTATGCGCCCAACCACTAGCACTGTGTCGTGTGCCAGTCAAGGTCCATCATCCAGTAACATAAATCAAATGACACTGATTAAGCTCTCTGCAGCTGAGAGTTGACATAATGAAAAAGACAAATAAGTGCGTTGATCCATACAGGACCGGAGATCCATTAGTTCCGCCCAACTGCTTAGTCATCCCACCAATGAACAAATCCGAGGCACTAATTGGCCGCGAGAGCAAAAATGTGACAATAATAACTACAAACGTGGTCATACGGCCCTCATGTAGAGTGGATGCTATAAAGCTTAGTGGCAGTGCGAGGATTATTGTGAAGCTATGGAACGCACAATTTGCCATTAAATCTTCACGACTCCGACCGCCTAGCTCCTGTGGCAGTGAATGCTGAGCAAAAAGACTTGTCACCAGGTTACGCGCCCTTGATTTGCCTCTATTTACTCAATTTTCCTTCCTGGGTGCTTGTAACTCATCGTGTGATTTGATTTGAAGTGGTTTTATGACCTACACCTCTTCTTTTACTCCCACGTCAATGGATCAGCCACAATTTTTGCTTTCGAGTGTAATAGAAAGGACGAATTTTTGCCAGTGCACCATGATGAGCCATCCTTTATTATCCTCCTCCGCACTAAGCATTCAATTAGGAAGTCTGGATGCCTTGTAATGCCGCGTTGATGCCCCTCCAGTCAACACGAGTTGACGATTTGTGCAATGTCCTGCCTTTGCAAATGCTACCACCCCTCATCTCCTGCACAGCCATTTTTCGTTTATAAGGTAATTAAAAATTTTGGCGATTTTTGAACTGTGTTAATTTTTACACTACCGAAGTGCTGGTCCTTATCTTGCTTGCACATCAGCTTGTGAAAATTCTACTCCAAGCACTTCCCCTTTTGACAGTTGCTTTCCTACAAAAACAATTCAGCTCGGCAAATTAAATTAAATAAGTAAAAACCAGTTTTGGTGCTCTACAATCACTTTTTTGAGATCTCAATTTTAAATCAACTTCTCTTTTAAGAGGGTGTAGGCAGAGGCATTTGTCTAGGCAAAAGGACTTTGTGCCGATCGCCTGCCAGATTTTGTTTTCTAGTAAATATAGTTGTCATTCGATTTTACAGGTGAAGCTATTTAGTAGTTTTTCTTGGCTCATTGTTTGGATCCCGATCCTCTTAATTAGGCGACCTATCAGCAGCCACTAAAAGCCCTTCCTTACCTCAGCATTGCACATTTCACCTCAGTAATGTGCCTTATTCGGCTGGAGAAAGGTTGCAGGACGGCATGATTCGTCTTTCAGTGACGAAATTCAAATCGAGGGGTCACTGCAGGCGGGCAAAAGAACCAGGTGAGCTCGAGGATGGTTACAATATCGTAGCTTGGAGGGCGCACGTAGTGAGAAGAAAAGACCCACCCAGCCACATTTGCAGCAATGCCAGTTCCATTTTCGGCCTCGACATTGTTGCCAATCTCATCATCACCTTCCATGCTTAAGGGTGAGAAGTGGGCGGAAGAAATGTTGCTATTTATGCCTAAAATAATCACACCGGTTACTGTCACAGTCTTTACCTTGATGCCAGTGCACATCCAGTGCTGACAGGGCAATGTCATGCCCCTCCGATGGCATTAAGCAAGCAGTTAAGGCATGCCAAAGCGGTTATCGACTCTTGTGCCTCCTCAAAGCGCGTTTAATTTGCTTTGAAAGTTGGGACTCTCGATTTATTATTGTAAAAATGAATGTCATCTCTCCTGTG